CAGCTCTAATGGGGGCAGTAATGGGGTTGCTTATATACGTCGCGTGGTGGCGCTGAGGGACAGAGAGGCCAATGCTTGGGGGTGAGGAGGGAGGAGACATGTAGAGGGTGAGGAGAGGTGTGGGGTGAGGAGAGTCGTGTGGGGGATAATTTGGATAGGAGGAACAGAGATTGATTTGATATGTGATGAGGGAAAATTGGTAGGCGTTACCAGTCGACCATTCAGATGGGGGTGGGGATTTGTGGGTCGCGGTTGGGGTGGAGAGGGGTGGATGTGAGTGAGTGTGAGTGTGTGTGTTTGTGAGAGAGAGAGAGAGAGAGAGAGAGAGAGAGAGAGAGAGAGAGAGAGAGAGAGAGAGAGAGAGAGAGATTTGTGTCAAAGAGAATATTGTCAGCATCTAACTGTCCATTGTTTGAAGGGTATTGCCAAATAATTGTTTTTACCTCACATCATATTAAGTTTCATAACACCAAGCATTCAAGGGTATTTTAGGTATATATTTTGCACACAACATAGGTTTTCATCATGATATAATATCATTAAATACCCATTCTTGTTTATGATATATTTTCGCCGCTTGCAGGAAATAGTGAGTGAGTGAGTTTAGTTTTACGCCGCACTCAGCAATATTCCAGCTATATGACGGCGGTCTATAAATAATCGAGTCTGGACCAGACAATCCAGTGATCAACAACATGAGCATCGATCTACGCAATTGGGAATCGATGATATGTGTCAACCAAGTCAGCGAGCACCACCCGATCTCGTTAGTCGCCTTTTAGGACAAGCATGGGTTACTAAAGATCAATATTCGAAGCCGGATCTACACGGGTCCTTTCAGGAATATATTATTCAAATCTCAACAATAGTATAATGCGGAACAAAAGAAATGGATGCATACATTGTATCTTTAGGGGTTCGAACACGGACCTGTGGCTTGACAGAACGAACACTTTAACTACTAGCCTACTCCATCAGCTTGTCTTATATTATCCACGACGTATCTTAGGACGTGATGGGTCTTATGCATTGTGTACAGTTTAACCTCGATAGTCGAAACCCTGTTTATGAGGACCAACCCGATATAACAATGTTCGGGTCGTCAGTGCGTCAGTACTACAAAACCAAGATCCGTTAACTCATTACGGTTGTTTAATCCGACACGTGAACGATAAAGGGATTACAGACAAGTTGAACCACTGACCCTAAAATCTTGTAAGGGAAGGTTTTAGTTTAGAAGCATAGTGACTATCATGAAATACTATCCCCAGCACATACCTAGGTGGATTATTTTGATGTAATTCTGACTGTGTATATTATAACACGATAGCTCCTACTCAGGCAATTGTGGCACTGCTTGCGATGAGGCGAAGCAAGTGTCACGTCTAGCCAACAATTGAGAACACCGAACGTCTGTCTCGACTTAGAATCCACGTTTCTACATTTTCTCAGACAAAAAGATTTGAATGTGGACGAGACAATCCAGTGATCAACAGCATGAACATCGATCTGCGCAGTTTGGATATGATGACATGTGTACATCAACCAAGCCAGCGAGCCTGACCACCCCATCCCGTTAGTCGCCTCTTACAATTCTAACCCAGATGTTCAGGGGTTGGACGTTGGACTGAAACTGGTAGTTAGGTGGCCGAAGCGGTATTCGCCGCATGCCCACCCAGTTCGATTTCTTTCATGGATGCAAAGCGTGGAACACATTCTGAGGGTGACCACCCCTCAACAACAAACACACCCACACCACACACACATTCCCCACACACACACACACCCACATTCCCCGTTGAATTCCATATTCCGTAATAAATACCATCATGTCTAGCTTTGAGACTCATTACTTATCTGACTATGACCCAGGTTCGATTCCCCACATGGGTATAATGTGTGAAGCCCATTTCTGATGTACCTCGATGTGATATTGTTGGAATATTGCTAATAGCGGCGTAAAATCTTAGTCACTCACTCATTCATTGTTCAACCGAATCCTGAATACAAGCTTAATTCAAATCTCAAAGGCACTGAGATGGTGAACAGATGTCAAAATCGTTGAAGTCCCTTTGGAAATGACAAAATGATTAGCATGTACTTGAAGGTTTGAACTGAAATTACTGAATATATACTTATGCCAATAATGGTTGTCACCCCCTTCAATTTTTTTAATTTGAGAGGGTGTGTGCGGTGGGGTAGTGAGGTGTGTGTAGGGTTGGGGTGGGGAGGGGGTTGACAACCATTATTGGCATGAGTATATATCGACATAGTATATGATCTAAAGTAAAATCCGTGAAGGTCCGGGTTAGAATGAGCCATCAGTAACCCATGCTTGTCGTAAGAGGCGACTAACGGGATCGGGTTGTCAGGCTCGCTGACTTGGTTGACACATGTCAGCGCTTCCCAATTGCACAGATCGATGCTCATGCTATTGATCACTGGATTGTCTGGTCCAGACTCAGCTATATGCAGACTACCACCATATAGCTGGAATCTTGCGGTGGCGTTAAACAAACAACAACAACATTATGATTATTTACACACCCCCGTCATATAGCTGGAATATTGCTGAGTGCGGCGTAAAACTAAACTCACTCACTCACTCTAAAGTAGAAAGATTAAGATAGATTATTCCATTTACAGTATTTCTGAAACAAACATATATTTCTAAAAATGGTGAAACTGAGTACCAACTACGATTCTATTGCCGCAGAACATGGCATCGGTCAAATGGAATTCCCTCCCTGATGAACTTAAGCTGTCTCCAACCCTTGAAAACTTTAAGTGTCATCTCAAAACCTTTCTTTACAAAAAGTTCTATGGACTTCAATAATGCCTTATTGATTGTTAGCGCTATGAGCATACCTGGTGTGGAGTTTGGCGCTGTATAAATGGACACATTATTATTATTAATACCCTAATTTAGACGCCGAAGTCAGCGCTCTGAAAGCTTGGTTGGTTGGTGTGTTGTTTAACGTTACACTCAGCAATATTCCAGCTAAATGGCGTCGATCTGTAAATATTCGAGTGTGGACCAGACAATCCAGTGATCAACAGCATGAGCATCGATCTACGCAAATGGGATACGATGACATGTGTCAACCAAGCCAGCGAGCCTGACCACCCAATGTACATAAGATAGATTTCATCATGAACTTAAGGAAACGGCATAGAGTAAAAAACACTTCGACCTCCAGTCACTTTATTTCAGACCAAACATCTTTATTGAAGAAGGATCGTTGCCAAGTGCGACAAGCATGGGTTACTGAAGACCAATTCTAACCCGGGTTCATCGTGGGTACGTTCTGAAAGGGGGTTGGTAGCCTCATCGCTGGTACAAGTACCTTATCCCTGCGGTCGTGATGTGGCTGGCATAGTGCCAAAAGCGGCGTAAAACGCTACTCATTCACTAATGTTCTATCTAGGGAGGAAATGAATTGTCCAGATATTTCCGATATCTTTGACAACACTTACATTTTTCTAAACCTAAAGTGACAACACCTTTGATGCTATCTGTATGATATAATAATTATTTAATTTCATCACGTATTTATTTAATTCAACTTTTAAGCATAAGAAAAATGCCTTTTCCCCAGAGTCCGATAAATTGTTAGGGAGGTTTTTAGAAGAGCCTTGATATGAGCAACCTTGGAATAGGGTGTATGTGCACAAGGCACCATTTTCATCTCTAGAGAGCCCCGTAATTGAACCGATTTACCTTTGGTTCGTGGACAAAGAGACTTTAGAACCACGTTCGCGATCTTAGATTATTTGAACAGCAGGGTTAATTTCAAAAATTTCAAACACGGCAGTTTTATGCATCCATGAAACACTTCGAGAGAAATCCATGGCAACGTTTTAGCTGAGAGGCGCTCAGACCGCAGCGGTGAATCATACGGTCGGAATCGAATGTTTTGATTTCAAAGTTATACATTAGCGTTTCCTGTAGCTATTGGTTCTTGAAAGATACTGGGTAATCTTCACAGTGTATTTGACCAGCTGTATTATTTCTAGACACTTTTATTATTTTTTATTTTTCATGACATAATGTATATTTAGAATATGTATGAGATTGATTTTATGACTTGAACGCCATTCGTGAATAGTTTTAATGACTTGAATAATACAAATGATAATTTTGTAATAAAACTGAGAGTGAATTACAGTTCTGAATAACCAGTGCTGTGTTTGAACAAGAATAGAGTTGTTAAGTGCTTGTACCTACTGTCACGCTGGAGGGGGTAGGGCCGCCGGAGGGGGTAGGGACGGCCCTTTTAGTGGGTTATTCTAGTTCTCTCTACCCATAATTACCTTCTCAGCTCGCAGGACGCGAGAATGTTATCAGTCCGATGGAGGTAAAACAATTAGACGTAGCCTGAAAGCTTTTAAACAATGTTTCTGTCACATTATTGACAATTTTCATACAGTTATGACATTAAGCGAGAAGATCCCTGAGAGCTTAGGACGAGATGGATGGATTAAGATACATTCGGTGTGGAGAGGTGGGGAAGTGGATGACGTGAAGCAACGTCTTCATCGTCAACTTGGGAGTTGTCACTTCAGTAACGCTCCTGTGCATTTTGTTACGCTGTGTTGTGATGGTGAAATATCATTACATCATCACGTGTAGGCGGACATCCTTAGATCATCACGTGTAGGGAAGTCATCATTGGGTCATCGCGTGCGAGTTAAATATTCTTAGTACATTACGTGTAGATCTAACACTATTAGGACATCACGTGTAGGGTAAAATACCATTTGCACATCGCTTGTAGGATAAACAATATGGGGACATAACGTGTTGGTTAAACACGATAAGTCCATCACGAGTAAGTGAACCACTATAAAGTCATCGCCTGTACGTTAAACAATATGAGGACTTCACGAGGAGGTTAATAAGTATAAAAACCCAACGTATACGTTAAACAATATGAGAACATCATGTGTAGGTTAACGACATAAGGACATCACGTTCCGCCATTAGAACGTCAGTTTTGGCGAAATGTCTTTAAAGCTTAGCAAGATGAGTTTCCAGTCTAAATCCGACGACCATAAAATACATAATAAATTTTGACATAGGCAAACGAGTGGATGACAGCATGATCAAGGTAAGACGGGGTTCGATGATACATAGTTGTATTAGAAACTGTCCACCCGATCCCCGTTAGGTCAGTCCTGAAACAAGCATGAGGTGAGGTGAGGTGAAATTGGGTTTAACGTCGTGCTTGAGAATATTTCGCTCATATGACGACGTGCATGCGTGTGTATGTGTATGTGCGGCTGCTTGTACTAGCCCAGACTTAAGCTGGTTTTATAGTGCTAGCCCACTGAGATACCATGCCGCAGTGGAGCATGAATACCCCACTCAGACACATTATACTGATTCCGAGCCGTCCAGTCCTTGTTGTTCCCATTAATGCCGAGCGCCAGGCAAGGACCAACAAGTACCATATTTTAACGTCTTTTGGTATGACGCGGTCGGGGATCGAACCCGCCACCTTCCGCTCTCCGGGCGGACTCTCTAACCACTACACCACGGAGGCGGTCTAAACAAGCATGAAATACGTGGGAAAACTGACCCGCAATTAATATTCCCACCGGAGTTGCATGTGGAATTATGATGAAGAATGGCGACCAAGTGAGTGGGTTTGGTTAATGCTGCTTCCAACAGTCTGTCTGATGTATCGAGGCGTGTTACCTTGATGCGACAGGAAAACCCCCAAACCATTTGTGACACTCACAAGTGCATGGTGCTTGCGGACCCTGAAAAAGGAGCGTCCCGGGCTCCAACCAACGTCCATACATTACTGGCTACTTACTTAATGGACGCATAACGAAATTCCAGCACCTTTTGAGGTGTGTGTGTGTTGTGTGTGTTTGACGTGTCTGAATGAGGTACCTGATGTGGTGTGTGTGTGTGTGTGAGAGAGAGAGAGATATGTGTGTGTGAGAGAGAAAGATGTGTGTATTAGAGATGTATGTGTGTGTGAGAGGTGTGTGGATTGTGTATGGTGTATGGATTGTGTGTAGTGTGTGGATTGTGTGTAGTGTGTGGATTGTGTGTAGTGTGTGGATTGTGTGTAGTGTTTGGATTGTGTGTGGTGTTTGGATTGTGTATGGTGTGTAGTGTGTGGATTGTGTGTAGTGTGTGGATTGTGTGGATTGTGTGTAGTGTTTGGATTGTGTGTGGTGTTTGGATTGTGTATGGTGTGTAGTGTGTGGATTGTGTGTAGTGTGTTGATTCTGTGTAGTGTGTGTAGTGTGTGTGGTGTTTGGATTGTGTATGGTGTGGATTGTGTATGGTGTGTAGTGTGTGGATTGTGTATGGTGTATAGTGTGGATTCGGTGTAGTGTGTGGATTGTGTATGGTGTGTAGTTTGTGGATTGTGTATGGTGTGTAGTGTGGATTGTGTATGGTGTGTAGTGTGTATGGTGTGTAGTGTGTGGATTGTGTATGGTGTGTAGTGTGTGTATGGTGTATAGTGTGTGGATTGTGTAGTGTGTGGATTGTGTATGGTGTGTAGTGTGTGGATTGTGTATGGTGTGAGAGGTGCGTGGATTGTGTATGGTGTGTAGTGTGTGGATTGTGTATGGCGTATAGTGTATGGATTGTGTATGGTGTGTAGTGTGTGGATTGTGTATGGTGTGTAGTGTGTGGATTGTGTATGGTGTGTATTGTGTATGGTGTGAGAGGTGGGTGGATTGTGTATGGTGTGTAGTGTGTGGATTGTGTATGGTGTGTAGTGTGTGGATTGTGTTTGTTGTGTAGTGTGTGGAGTTTGTATGGCGTATAGTGTGTGGATTGTGTATGGCGTATAGTGTGTGGATTGTGTTTGGCGTGTAGTGTGTGGATTGTGTATGGTGTGTAGTGTGTGGATTGTGTATGTTGGGTAGTGTGTGGATTGTGTATGTTGGGTAGTTGTGGATTGTGTATGGTGTGAGAGGTGCGTGGATTGTGTATGGTGTGGGTGTAGTGTGAGTATGGTGTGAGTGTAGTGTGTGGATTGTGTTTGGCGTGTAGTGTGTGGATTGTGTATTGTGTAAGTGAGGTGTGTGGGTTGTGTGTGGTGGTGTGCTTTGTGTAGTGTGTAGATTATGTGTAGTGTGAGTGAGGTGTGTGGATTGTGTGTGGTTTGCGGTGTATAGTGTGTGGATTGTATATGGTGAGTGTGTGATGTCAGTGAGGTGTGTGGATTGTGTGTAGTGTGTGGTGGTTCTTTGTGTAGTGTGTAGATTATGTGTGGTGTGAGTGAGGTGTGTGGATTGTGTGTGGTGTGCGGTGTATAGTGTGTGGATTGTATAAGGTGGGTGTGTGGTGTCAGTAAGGTGTGTGGATTGTGAATGGCGTATAGTGTGCTGCTGATGTGTGGTGTAATGTTCAGAAAGTTCGGTGCATGTTGCATGGTGCAGGGTGTATGAGAGAAATGAGAGGACACACTCCCTGCATAATCGACCCTGTCATTTTTGTCTCCATCATCAGGTCTCCCATCGCCGTCCGATAACTGCTGGTCGATCCGTAATTACAACAATATCGGCATTTATGATGTTTTATGACACTCAAAATAAAATGTCAATATTGCATGAGTAGCGGTAGGAACAATGATTTCCGGGTTGCATTGCCACGCTCAATCAGCTCGAAGACCAACACAGGTCCCGTCACTCCAGGCGGGGACCTGTCAGGCAGCACTATCTAACATCGACGATACAAAGCCTTTCGGCAAATATTGGTCTTGAAAATCATTTCAGATTAAAGGGTGAATCCAGTGATTAAATAATTATCGTCATCTGAAAGATTGAATGGGACTCAAGCGAAAGGTCATCACCAGCTGGCTCTGCAATACGTGGCTGATTGGTCGCTTGTGGGAACGCTATTGATAGTCACCATGTTAAGATGTATAAGTTATTTACGTTAAATCCCGTCGTAAGGTCTTGAATGAACGTTCAACCACTGAGTAGCATTTACGACCTGTAAGAGTCCTTATTCCGATTCAGAGCTTCGGAGAGCATCCTTGTTTTTACTGAAGTTGAATATGTTTACGCCGCTTTTAGCAACATTCCAGCAACATCACGGCGGGGGACACCAGAAATGGGCTTCACACATTGTACCCATGTGGGGAATCGAACTTGGGTCTTCAGCATGACGAGCCAACGTTTTAACCACTGGGCTACCCCACCGCCTGAAGGTAAGGTCATGACCTACTCACATAGGGAAGTGCGAATACCGTCTCATCTAAATTAGATTTCTTCAAATGTAATTTGAGACCCAGCATATCGGCAGATCTGATCTCAAGTTTCAGGTTCCATGGTAGGGACTGAAAGTATATACAATGTGTCATGAGACAAGGCATATCATTCAAATTTTTTGGACGTCCACAGCCAGAGGAAGATCAAACATAGGTTCAACTATCTCTTTACGTCCAAAATATCAACTGTTAAATCTGAACTGCTTTCCACATTGGAAGTGTATCCAGCAAGGTTCATCCAGAGAAGAAATGGTTGACACCCCGTCCTCTCCAATAAAGATTACAGAAGAAGGAAGGGGTTTGACACCCCGAAAAAGACAACACAGAGGACGTATGGATTTGATGCCTCCTTTTTTTCTAGGATGGCAAGGAGGAAGAGTTGGTCTGATACTCCTCTCTCTTGAGAGGAAGAAAGCAAGCAGGAATTGTGGGTCTGACACTCTTGTCTCTTGAGACCAAGATAACATAGAAGAAGACTTGACCTGCCACCTTTCTCCTTATATAAAAACGATTAGGAATGTTTTTGAATATCCTTACAGCATTATTCAGAAAGTGATCATACGAAATTGAGGGTTACACACATTTTGCCACGTATGTTTTGGCAAAATTCAGACAATGCTATTTAAGTATTGAGACACAGTGGGCGATTCGAGTGGGAAGGAATTGGCCCCTTGCCGTACAATATAATTTAACACCATCATCTCAATTAGAGTTGACTAGAAAAATAGGTATTTTCAGCCGCAGTAAGTAAAGACGTGTGATTAACACACATTGTTGGGAAGGTAGCGCGACATCCGGAAAACTTATCATTATCCTGCTCGACAATGTAAGTGTCCATAAGGAGGCTTACATATATAGACTTGAGACTTGGTGGGTCTGACAACACTAACAGTCTGTCTGATGACTTAATGTCCCCCTAGTAGCCTTGTCGTCTCCTCTTTGAGCAAACCATCATGACACAGGATATTAATCACTGCTTGTCGTTCCAGACGTCGTCACAAGACTGTCATTACAACGCAAAATGAACAATTACACTCTCAGATTGGCCGTCAGACGAACGGGGGGTGCTTTCATGTAGTTCTTATATATTCATAACAGGATCCGTTCTTTAAATGCGGCTTATTTCGTGAACATAAACTTCCGATTTCATTTTGAGATGGTCCCTGGCGTCGTGTTAAACGTCTCCTTTTCGCACCAGCCGTGCATTAGCTTCTGAGACATCCTGATAACCGATATATCGCGTGATAGATGATTTGTCGCCGGGGATATTGTGTATGAGGAAAAATAATGACCATTTTTAAACATTAAATGACAACTGTTTGTTGGAGTTGTATAGACATTTTAGCAAAAACACATTTGAAGGGCAAATACGGGTATGCAGATGGGAAGGAATTTCCCCTAAACGATTCATGTTTTATGTAGAATAATTCAAATTTACGGCGACGTTGTTAAGGATTTTGAATCAGATTACAGGGATAATTAAAGAATGCATGAAGGTTCATTCCTGCGTTGGACAATTTATCACTTCTCTTTCGGGCTGAGGCAGATTGTTCAGCGCCTTCTCGTGTGATTTGAGCATTTAAGGACGCCTTATTTCATCAATACGCAACAAGAATTATGTCCTGTTTGGCCTTTCATATTTTGTTCTGATTTGGTTGTATGGCTTCGTTTAGATGTCTTTGACCGCCTCTGTGAGTTGCATTCAAAGCAATAGTCGATATTTTCAATTACGTGGCGTAGAAATTAAGTTTTGACATGCAACACAGATTCAAAGAGCGAGGAGAAAGGACGTTATTTTTAAAAAACGAGTTCAAAACGAGGAAGAAGTGAGGCCCGAAAAAGGACTGTGTTATCGCTTGCATGGATGGTGTCTTAAGTCGGGATTAAGGGAAAGACACTTTGAAGGCTTGAGCTCCGATCAGTTAGGCTTTCATCCTGTGAGATCGGGCGAGGATACGGCTTGGTAGATTAATTAGAATATGTTGACGGGGATGCAAGGGTGAAGAAAGATGACACTGGTAGGCTTCTAACGCCGAACATCACCAGGTGCTTCAGAGACCATGCCTCAAAGCCTTCATCTGCTGGAAGAATTCCAGGTCAATTGCGTTATTTACGAGCTCGATATCAGATTTTCTGGCTGGTGAACAGATGTCAAAATCGGTAGAGTCCCTTTGGAGATGACAAAATAATTAGCATGTACTCCCAAATGTCTGCTGGAGTTGAATCCCAGCCATCATAGAACTCAACACTTCCTCTGTATCAAAAGACGGCCACCATCGGTGATCCGGGTCTGCAATTATTTGATGCGTTTGATGAATTCTGACGGCCGATGACATGCGGCTGATGCAGGTGACTAGGGCCAACCACTGCAGGATATAGGACGAGCCAACGAAATAGTCGACTTCCTCCGCTGAGAAAGAACTTCTCGAAAAGACGCACTCTTCAGATCGGAGGACCGTGTTTTGAGAAGGATAACCCGGACCCTCTTCCGCTATTCTTCCACTGGCGCGGAGTGCAAGACAGTTTTTACCACTTACAATGCCATTCACAGGCCAAAATAATTCATAATTACCAGATAGAATGTCCGACAAACCCTGGCTAATTTCATGGGCAAAGTACTACGGAAATGACAGGGTTTTTTTGTTGATGAGAGAAACAGTGGTCTCTTTCTCAGACAAGGGAATCAATACCCTTACAATCAGCCCCAAAGAAAACTCATCTTTCAGGAAAATAACAGATTTATTTGTTCTCGGAGCTCATCCTCTGTCCCTCCAACCCCCTAACAACACTAAACGGAGCCCGTCCTTTGCAAACATTAAGAAGGCGATTATAGGATTTTTAATGTGACCTTGATTTGTGTTTTGTCTGATCCATTATGTTTTTTTCTATCTTGCCTCTATGATATTAATCCATCTGGTAATCGACGGCACTGAAATTAAACAAAAATAATATTAACCTGTGTTTTGTAATGAATGTATTTGTTTTTCTATTCCATATAATATGCATGTAGAATGAATCTATGTTTCATTAGCTAACACTTGCGGTTACCATGGAGAATGGCAAGTTAATATTTTGTCTTGTCAAAATAGGTTCGTATTTATTAATTCCTTTGAACACAGCAGTCCAAATGATGAACATGTTTTTGGTAAACCCATTGACGTCATTCGATTGTGAAAAAGTGTTACTTTTTGTATTCTTTTACGTTGTTTTACATGTTTACAGATTTCTGAAAAGTGGATTCAGGGCTTGATCCATTTGATGTCATCATGTCATCCCTCAAGGTAGTCCGATTTAACGGATTTCGTATTTAGATAAAGTAAATAAATCGAACGCAGGTTGTCATAGCAACATGGTCCGTATTGTCGTAAGTCAATTCAAAAGTTAATTCTAACGACTTCAGAAACAGACCCAGGGTCGGACAATGTAGGTTTGAATTGCGTGAAACAGAGGACGTGATATTTATGGAGCTTATATATCACAGCAAATACAGTTTTTTTGTGAAGTAATTACGATAAAATGTTGCCCCGACTTACATGTGGAGTAAAGGAAAGGTTTAAAGCTATCCTGTAGGACTGACGTACGATCACAATGCATGTTGGGTAATCGTACGTCATCGTCCTGAGACGAAGCCATCTGACGAACTCTTCCCCCATTATGTAACTACAACAGTGAATGTTCAACCCTAAACCTTACTTTGAATATATTCTCCTGCTATTTTCCACTTACAATCACCCTAAATACATTACTTTGCCACATCGTGTGACAAACCTGGGGAGGATACGATTTGACAGGATGACAAATCTCCAACAACACGAAATCCCAGGATAATTCATGGCGTCGAACGTATCTGCCTCCCAACGCAAGATGTCAGGGTCTAACAGAAGCTTTTTGTGGTAAATGCAAATTTCAGAAAACCGGACACCCTAAGACAGCATAAAAGCTTAGGGTTATCAGGCACCGTGGAGTATAAGATTTAGACGGCAAGGTTTGGATTAAACTGTCATAAATGAAGCTCCACCGTTAACGTTGCGACGTGAGAGTATACGCATTTGATGGAACAGCCTAATGGTCGAAAGTGTAGGGATAACTTGGTATTCAAATCGGCAAAGCGGGATGGTGGAATTTGATGATGAGGTTTAAAACTTTTTTCTGAAAGGATGTAAACTATTCAGTCCTATGTAAGCTGATAATTTTTACAGTTATCAAAGATTGAAACAGCGGTCGTTTTGGTAAGAGATCCCAATTTGGTGTTAAATTGTCATTTAATATACTGTGAAGTAAAGCCGTGTGAATCTCTTCATTTTCAGACATTTCCTCTTCAAGCTGTTATACACTTGTATGCTTTTGGGGGATTATGCCATATCTTTGTTACATGTCTATTTCAAAGTTGAAACTCTTATGAAACTAAATATGTTTACAATTTGATATAAATTACAGCAAAGTAATTAATTACAATGGAATAGTTACACAACAGAGCGGCAGTACAAAAGTGATCATAGTATCCATTCCGGCTAGGCTTCCCAAATACGCATAGGCTTGGCATCCGTCATGAAAAAAGTTATCTTCACAGGCTGCTTGAATTGATGTAAACAGGCATGCGCTTGAACATTTATATATGAAAAAGCTTCTAGGAAATTCCAGAACACCCCTGGCCTCCAAAGCGCCAAATATAGCAACTTGAATAACACTGCCCTCTACCGAATCTTAACAGAAACAATGTAATATAACTTAAATATTGTTTTACAAATATTACACTCAGCCTGCCATATAACAAGACAAACCTTTTTAAGAACATAAACTATCCATGCTTTCATAAACTGCTGTTACTTTTTGAAGTAATCAATTACGATTGTTTCAGATTGAATGCGTAATCATTTATGGAACACACTTAAAGCCTTTTGCTGGACAAGATGACGCCTCTGGAATAAAAGTAGTTTTAGTATTTTGGTGTTAAATTGTCGTTTAATATACAACGGGAATGAGCTTCGAGAATCTCTTCATGTTCAGAAACTGACTTCACAAACTGTTATAGACTTGCATGTATTTTTAGGGAAAGTTCGTTTAAGGGTTGTTGTTGTTAGACGCTGCTCTAAAAATATAATCTTCATGATGAAGGTATGAAAGTACGATGAACATAGAGACTTTACTGGGTTTCATCTTCTTTTTATTGTTTGGTACAACATTTCAGGGCTTGTTCTGGCCCTGTCATCAGCTAGAACGGACATTTCAGGGCTTGTGCTGGACCCATCATCAGGTAGAACTGACATTTCAGGGCTTGTTCTGGCCCCATCATCAGGTAGAACGGACATTTCAGGGCTTGTTCTGGCCCCATCGTCAGGTAGAACGGACATTTCAGGGCTTGTTCTGCCCCATCATCAGCTAGAAAGGACATTTCAGGGCTTGTTCTGGCCCCATCATCAGGTAGAACTGACATTTCAGGGCTTGTTCTGGTCCCATCATCAGCTAGAACTGACATTTCAAGGCTTGTTCTGGCCCAATCATCAGCTAGAACTGACATTTCAGGGCTTGTTCTGGCCCCATCATCAGCTAGAACTGACATTTCAGGGCTTGTTCTGGCCCCATCATCAGGTAGAACTGACATTTCAGGGCTTGTTCTGGCCCCATCATCAGCTAGAACTGACATTTCAGGGCTCGTTCTGGCCCCATCATCAGCTAGAACTGACATTTCAGGGGCCCTAAAACGTTGTACCAAACAATAAAAAGAAGATGAAACCCAGAAAAGTCTCTATGTTCATCAAATAGCATCTTCTAAAATGCCAATCAAACATCTGGTATGAAAGTAGTTAAGTCTTAACCAGTGATTGATATTAAGAGCAAATCCCTGGATGATTGGACGCAAGCAGGAAAGCCATACAGCTGACCATCCTATCCATTATATCGGTCCTTATGACAAACATATTTTACAATGGACCCATTCTGAACCGCGTATCAACGAGAACAATGATTCCTGTGTGCCAGTTCTAAGGGCGTTTGTTTGTTTGTTGTTTTACGCCGCACTCAGCAATATTCCAGCCAAATGGCGGCGGTCTGTAAATAATCGAGTCTGGACCAGACAATCCAGTGATCAACAGCATGAGCATCGATCCACACAATCGGGATACGATGACATGTGTTAACCAAGCCAGCGAGCCTAACCACCCAATGTACATAAGATAGATTTCATCATGAACTTAAGGAAACGGCATAGAGTAAAAAACACTTCGACCTCCAGTCACTTTATTTCAGACCAAACATCTTTATTGAAGAAGGATCGTTGCCAAGTGCGAAAAGGAATCACTTTATTTCAGACTAAATATATCTATTCAAGAAGGATCATTACCCACAGTGAACAGGAATCAGATAATTTCAGGCCAAAGGAGGATCGTTACCCACGGCGAAAAGGAATCACTTAATTTCAAACCAGAGAAGGAACCACAAAGAAGCACCTTACCGTAAATGTAATATCTTTGTGAAAGTAGGATCATTACCCACCGCGAAAACCAATCACTTTATATTAGACCCATTATCTTTTTAAAAGAAGGATCGTTTCCCATTGGAAAAAACATTATCTTATTACAGATCTAGTTTTCTTCGAGAAAAATTACCGTTACCAACTACGTAAAGGAATAACCTTATCTTAGATCTAATGACTATCTCCGTGGTGTAGTGGTTAGAGCGTCCGCCCGGAGTGCGGAAGGTCGCGGGTTCGATCCCCGACCACGTCATACCAAAAGACGTTAAAATATTGCACTTGTTGGTCCCTGCCTGGCGCTCGGCATTAATGGGTACAACAAGGACTGGTCGGCTCGGAGTCAGTATAATGTGTCTGAGTGGGGTATTCATGCTTCACTGCGGCATGGTATCTCAGTGGACTAGCACTATAAAACCAGCTTCAGTCTAGGCTAGTACAAGCAGCCGCACATACACGTACACACGCCTGCACGTCGTCATATGAGCGAAATATTCTCAAGCACGACGTTAAACCCAATTCCACCACCACCACCTAATGACTATAAAAGAAGGATCATTACCTAATAAAGAACAACCAACGTCAACTTCAATATCTAACGTCAACGGATTACGTGTATCTAGATCTATAAGCAACGATAATCCATCCTTCTTAATGAAGTCTAACTGTTAGTTCGAACCCCACTGGCATAAACAAACCAACATGTCGACGACGTCAAGGAAACAGTTGCTTCACGCACACTGCCAATTACGGTCTTCATGTGTCCAAACCACCTTGATGCCAACTGTTGGTTCTGGTAGCCCCAGAACGCTACGGTACCTCTATTGCGTCTTCTGTCCAAAGCAGTAGGTCCTGACCCCCTCTGGCGCCTGTAGTGTTACATTGATTTGCTGTCAAAGTCCGCCACATCTGTCCCAGCATCGATTGCCTCCTCCCTACGGTGTCCCTGGGGATGTCTAATTGTGTAACCCACGTCGAGATCTCTAAGTGCCCACATTTTCTTCACAAATCTGGCAGAAAAGGCCTCAATTAGTTGTAGTGGTTTTCATGTGTGTATCGAAGGAGCAGTTGGCGTCAGTTATTTACTAAATCACCTGACAATTTACACACGGCATCAAGACGTTCTGTGAGGACCTCAGCAGAGACAGCATCAACATGTCCAACGAGATGCAACATCGTCAAAGGTTCACATTGTAGTTATTTTTCAGAACATATCTCACAATTGTACAACGGGGAGGTATGCATACGTTATATACTATTTTTTGGTTTTCTCATGTAGTAATTTGGACACGATAGTGCTATAAACCTACTCTAACGGTTTAAACCCTTTTTTGTCTCAATCAAATACTAATAATATAAAAAATACAACAAATATGATCTGTTAAAGAGGATATGGAGAAGGGACATTCATTTACCCATTTATTTATTAACCAGTTTTAATTATCAGAAAATATTTTTAAAACAATCAAAGATTTACTGTTTGTTTTGAGAGATTTTATCATTCAGGATCAAAGCCCCGAGCACAAGGAAAGAGATAATTTAAAACAACACCCATTTAAGCTTTCAGGAATTCTCAACGTGGCATTAATCATATTCCTTTGAATTATCGTTATGATTTATTCATATCATATTTCGCTTCCATTAAGTGCACTTAAATCATCAGACTAAGTTGTGGCAAGACGGGGAGACTCGGTGGGGGACACCGTGGGGAGGGTAGGCTAACGGCAGTGTTGGAATGGCCTCTGTTCGGAGGGTAACATGCGACAGTGTCGTAATCACGATATACAGACCCGACTGTACAAAGTGACCAGATTCTGCCCTATCGTGATGGTTAGTGTAAATGACATGTCCGTTTCAATTGGTCAACTGAGACCAAACTCCGACGCCGTTAACTGATGTTAGGGAGGCGAGGTGAGAGACGGTCTCCGTAAATGGATGTAATCTGATCAAAGATGCTTTTTCCCAGCATGACTCATGCTCAAATTCGTCAACATTGCCAATCTTGGGATCAGAAGGCATGTTCCATTGGTTTCACACGTAATCAGGCGTTAGACACCAGTGTCCAACAGTCCATCAACCAGTGTCGGAGGCGACACGCGGCCCCTGCCGGTGCTCGGAAATAAGGTCAATGCCACCACCGCTTCCACTACATCATACTGCGGGATAAAATCTCAGATGAGATAACTCATAAGATTGGTTGTATTACTTGAAAAAGACCTTATTTGAATTATTTTGCAATAAAGTCTTCTGCTGGTGAATCTATCACCGGGGTATTATCATAAAGAAAATTTCCCGGTGGGATACTGAAGGGATTTGAGAATGCGTGTGCATAATGGTTGTTCAATACACATTTAGCTACAAGCGATCAATGCCAGCAGAAGCATCGCAACAATCACATTTTTCCTCTGCATGGCGCGTTTTGCGGATTCCCTGTCAGAAATATAAAGGGGTCAAATTAGGATGCCGTGTAGAGCATCTTATTGATATAAGAAGGTCCTTTTATCATTGTCTCATACTATCTGTATCAGGTTGCATCGATAGTGCTGAGATGTTATCAAAGAAAGATGAAAGGCAAGCATTAAAAGCACTTTTCATCGACTATTTCCATTAGCCCTGATGAATAATGCGCCGTGTGTTGCATGTAAGACGGTTCCAGTAGTCAATTCCGCAAACGCTTCAATTAGTTTTCAAATAGTGAACTTTAGGTTTAAAAAAACCTATTCAATCTGAAACTAGATGATTAAATGTAGCGATAAAGTATAGGAATCTCTTTCATGCTGTCAGAGTAGATGTGGACAATCTTTATTTGACCGAACGTTTAACATGTACACACGGGTCTGATGTAGCGAGGGTTAGAGAGTATTACGGTTCTGTAATGCGTTTATTACTTGTCCTTGGAACTTCAGGTTACGTCGAGAGCTAAAGTAAGTACAAATACAAAAGGACAAAATAATTTGTACTCGCCTGAGAATCAAAGATATCGGCTATAAACGTTTTATTTCTTTATCACAAACTATGAAACCATAAACCCTTTTAATTCGGACGGAACCGCTAAAACGAACCGTCCGGATTAACAGGTTGTCGGATTAATAAATGTTTGCTATTTGTAGCTCTGTTCCTTCAGAATGCAGACACGACCGGTATACATGGTTTCCGTTTTAACGGGGTCTGGATAATAGGCTCTGTCCGTGGACATATATTTTTTTGAATATTTGGACGTCTAAAATTTGCGTCAGTGGGTTTATACCTTACCAAAGGAATAGATTACGCCAGGCTTTAACTCTAAGGGACGACATTGTGAAACGCTTGCCTTTCACGCATAATTTTCACGTAAAAGGCTCATAGTCCCAGTTGACAAATTTGCATTTCACGGAATTCAGGTAAAGACCTGGCCTAAATAGGGTTTGTTAAGTCCTACTAGAATTGCTAAATTTTAAAGTTAGGGGAAGATTGTTCCATAACAGCACCTAAAGTACCCTCTTATTCATGCGCGTTTAGCGTCACATCTCTACTTAATGTTGTTTTAAGTCAAAACCTGCATGTCTTAAAAGAAAGAAATCTAACTGTTAATTTACATGAATATTTTTTCAGTTTTATTATTTTGTTTTCCGAAAGTTTGGCAATTCATCTGAGCCCGAATGCTTGATTTACACATAAGGGAGCCAACATCACGGCCATTAGTTCCTTCTTGTTTCAATGACAAATTATATTTTTCTTTGCGCTTATCAGTAAAGTGAAGCCCAAATTGCCTGTGCTAATACTACGTGGGCATCCTTTGCTCTATGACCTTGAACAGCAGGTGTCGTAACAATGCACTTGGGCGCGATGTGCCGT